TACTTTTAAAAGTAAAAAAATTACAAGCATTTCCATTCATGCTGGAAAAAAGATTAAGCCTTCTATATTGATAGTAATGCACTATATTTAAGCTTTGTCATACTATTATTTTTTAAATTGAATAATATAATAATTAAAACAATCCCAGAGAATTAGCACAAAAAATACTTGAGATAACAAGACTTCAGTAAAATAAGTGGTTGCAGGAAACATTCAAGACGCGGTCATCAAGAAATATAAAGGGGAAACATGAGATCACCTCCACAGATACAGAATATGCAATGAATAAAATTTAGAATCATTCATTTAGGAAAAAATTCTATAGAAATAGAAAGGAATTTTATTAACATATAGCTAAAAACCTACAGAAAACATACTGAATGGTAAAACATCAGAAGCTTTTCTTTTGTCATCAGGATCAAACTCAACATGTTTGCTATCATCACTTCCATTTTAACATTAAACTGAAGGTCTTTGCAGGGTAAAGTGTAACAAAAAGTCACCGTCTTTATTTGCAGTTTGCATGACTGTGCATACAAATTGTAAAAGAATACACATATATTAGAATTAATGAGTTGTCTATTTATATGCTATTAAGTATTAATTAAAATAAATTTTAGAAAAATATGATATTTACAATATGTCATACAAATTATGCTCAATCAAAAAATAACAAAAAATATACAAGACTTTCACCAAAAAAATTCCAAAGCTGTATGGACAGATATAAATTCAGACCTAACTAAATAGAACAATACAACATTTGTGAACTGAATGTTCCAATATCATAGAGATGTTGATACTCCCCAAATTGGTTTATAGTTTTATTGCAATAACACTCAAAATTCATACATATTTATTTTGTGTATAGGTGAACTTGATAAGCTATATCTAAAATATATTTGGGAGGTCAAAGGGCCAAGAGTAGTGAAAAGCCCTCAGAAGAACAAAGCAAAAAAAAAATATTATTCTTCTGGATTTCAAGACATATTGTTAATTTACATCTATTTAAAGTATTATCACATTGACACAAAGATAGACAAATACAACAAAATGAGGAAGTCAGAAACAGGTCTATGCATATACAGGCTCTTTGTGTTAGCAAAGTTGAACAATATGGAAGGGAATGCCTTTGCAATTAAAAAAATGGTTAAATTAATTATTGTACAACTAGAATTTGAGAAACCATGTGGCCATTAAAAAATATAATTCAATTCTGTATTCTGATTTAGAAATATTATGTATTCATTCAACAAATACTTTGGGGCCACTTACCTACACCAGTTACTATGATTTTTTTTTTTTTCTTTACAAAATACATCACTGGGTTTAAAAACCAAATTACAACATAATACGAAATTGTGATTTTTCTCTACCTCCTACGTCACACAATATCATAGGTGTTATAAAACTGTGTTCCTTTTATCTCTCTGGTTTCCTGCCCTCTCTCCTCACTTTGTGTCACCATGCTGCAGTTCTTCACTGTTCGTTAAACACTTTAGTCATGCATCTATCTCTGAGCTTGTAAACCAGCTATTGCTTCTGCCTAACATCCTAAAATACCTAAATTTTCTGCTAGAAATTCCCATAACCTCCTTTCTTGGCAAGTTAAGGTTTTTGTTAAATCATTCAACTCTTCTTTTCAGTGAGATTATCCCTGATCATCATATTTAAAATTATAAGGTGACACTATTACCTACCCTCATATTTTCTTTCCATTTCCTATTTTATTTTTCTTAATAACACATACTACTTTCTCAGATTCTATATTTTTACTTGATCATTTAACTATTGTCTAAATTTCACATTATATAAGCTCTAAAAGGGCAAACATTTCTGACTCTTTTGTTTTTTGCTATATCCTATCACTAGAATAGTACCTCACATGTAGTAGGAGTAAACACAGTGTGTGTCGGTGTGTTTGTGTGTGTGTACATTTGCATATTTGTGTGTTTGTACACGTGTACAGAGAAAGCTTTTTTTTAAAAAAAGTGCTAGCAGTGGTTATTTTTGAGGAGGAGCATTTTTCTACCATGAAGGAAAGAAAAAGGGAACTTTTCACATCTTATTTTATATTTTTTCCATGTTGCTTGAATTATCTATTATAAACAGCTAAGGGTTTTTTTTAATGTCCCTAAATCTCTTCCATAAGACAAACAGATCAACTAAGATTGCAAAATTTAAAAACTTGGACAACATCTACAACAACACTAGGTTATGAGGTATACCCAAGAACCCTAAAATGCAATCAGGTGGAGGCAAACCATTAACACTTACAAGACGTGTGATATCTGCATCTGTACTGGAAGAAGCTAGGAGAAACCACAGATAAATCTGACTGCCCTGATAATAATACTCCAAAAGAGTCAACAGATGCTCATGGTAGCTGAGCAGGCCATTTGAGAAAAGCAGCTGAAAATGGGAGGGATTTTTGCACACACTTTAATTCATAAGGAAGTTTGAGGGCTCTGTGGCAAATCCAAAAGATTTAAGCCATCTATGAACTCCCAGGTAACTGGACTCCTTTCCAGGAAAATGTCTCACAATGCCGAGAAAGTATTGGGCATATAGTCCAAACAAAAAGTACAAGATAATAGGTGCCAAGGGAAGATCAAAGTCCAGAAAAAGTTGGAGGGAGAAGATAAAAGGAGGCACAGCTCAGAAAGTATGAAATCATATTTTTTTTATTACTATATGATAGCAACAGAATAGGAAGTCCTGGACGATTTTCTCTACTCCTTCCCAAAAGTTCAAGAACACGAATTTCATGTTAAAATGAGCAAGCAAAATAGACCATGGTTGAATATCATTAAAAGGTTATAATGAGATTGAGCCGGGCTCGGTGGCTCAGCCTGTAATCCCGCGCCTTGGGAGGCTGAGGTGAGTGGATTGCTTGACCCCGCGGGTTCGAGACCCGCCTGGGCAGCGAGACCTCATCTCTACAATAAATCAAAAAATCAGCGGGCGTGGTAGTGCGCGCCTGTAGTTCTGGCTCCTTGGAAGGCTGAGGCGAAGGATCGCCGGAGCCCAGCAGGTCGAGGCTGCGGTGGCCAGGAGCGGCCACTGCACTCCAGTCTGGGCGGCAGAGTGAGACTCCAACTCAAAAAAAAAAAAAAAAAAGATTATAATGAGATAAATACAAATAAGATGCAAAATAATATCCCTACAATAAAAGTATGCTGGAGAGACATGCCCACCAAAGGGATAAACTGTATCCTTATATTTAATTGAACTAAAATTTTAAGATGATTAAGATATGGAAGAACAACATATACCACAAGTAAGAATATTCAAAAAGGAGGCAACTGAACTTAAAAAATAATTCAAAATTAGAAAGAAAACATAATTTTAAAAACAATATGGTAGAAGAAGCAAAGAAGTGAATAAGCACAATGCAACACCTTTGTCAAGAGAGAAAGTATGTAAAAAGGGGAGGGGAGGACTTTGAAAATAAGAAAGTCATGAAGAAAGTCAATGAATATCCATCATACATAAAATAGTAATTTCTGAAAAAAAAACAGTAATATATTAAAATTGTATCAAAACTAAATTGTATATTGAGTATTTTAGAAAATTCTAGCACTCTAAGAATGATTTTCTTAGAAAAGTGAAAAGATTTGAAGTTACATATTGAAAGGGCCTATTTTATATTCAGAATAACCAATATGGCAACACTATAGAAAAACTACCAGACCTTGAAGAAAAAGGAAACTTCCTTTAAGCATCTAAGCAAAAAGTCTAATTCACGTATATACAAAGTAAGTTCTTTAAAGGATTATGGCTTTGAATAATAATCCTGTATTCCAGAAGAATATGAAACAGCATTTTTATGGCACTCAAAAAAAATAAAATGTGAGCTAAGGATGTATCCATTCAAACTACCTTCAAGGATAAAGGCCACAGACAAACTGCTGGCAGCATGCAGGAACTCAGAAACTTATTTCCTTGAGCACTCCCTGAAGAATTTACTAGAGAATGAGTTGCAGAAAATCAAGTGACTAGAGAAATGTAGACATAAGGACTGACAGAGTTTATGATTAACTAACAAGAGATTGAATACTGTGTGCAGTATGTATAGTACACAACACAGATAGAATAGCTCTTTAAAAAAAATAGAAGTGGGGTCCAGGAAACACAAATGATAAGTAGATTAAGCATGCTGTTTGCTTTATAGTATTTACTGAAATTAAAAGGTTAGTATTATAAATCTAACACTAGAGAAGAGGGAACAGAAAATATAAAAGAGATTGTTAAGTTGATTTCCATATTGCTCTTAATAGGGAATGGATAGAAAATAACCCAAAAAAATAAGTGATAGAGGAAACTATATAAAAATATATTTATACCATTAGAATACAAACTTTCTTAAATGCAAAACAAAAATTCTTCAGAAGAAAAATCACCAAAACCAAAACCAAAACAACTAAAAAGCAAAATTTAAAAAAAAACACAGAATGGAAAACATGTATATAAAATGTTTATCTATTAAATATATTATAATATATACAAAGAGAGAAACATAAATATATACAAAAATAAAATTAAATTTAAAATTAAACAAAAATTGAGCCATAGCTGTTAAATCTGTTTAAATATAGGGGAAGGAATGAATAGTGTAGAGTATGGGGACAGCTACTATACACCATTTTGTAGATTTAACTTCTGAAATGTTGTAAACTTTTAAAGTAATTATAAACTGGAATTAAGTTGACAATAATTTTTAAAAATAGACAAAATAAAACCAATCTTAAAAAAGTAAAAATACAATATGACATTTAGAGTTGTATGTTTCATCACAAGAATTTCTTGTATATCTGCTAACAACTCCAGATGTGAACCTGAAGTTTATATTAATGACATTTACTAGTTGGGCTTCAATTAAACTACATAGATCTTAGCTTTTTCTCTCACCACTAACAAACAAAAGGAAACAAGTCATAAATGAAATTAGTTGCTGCAGGGGAATGTTACTCACTATCTTGTCTTTTGCATTTCTTTAGGAAAATAAAAGAAAGTCTGGAGTGTTTCCCTGTTAAATTGAATAACTTGATCCATACACTTGCACAAATGTCAGCCATAAGCCCTGCCAAATTTACTTCACAGACTTCTTCATAGGAATCCTGTTTGCCAAGTACAACTAGGTCAATTCAAAGAGCAACGGTTTTAGGCTTCAGCAAGAAATCCTGTAATGTAAGTCTCTCGTCTCTCATCTTCACTTAAGTATCATTTGACTTTATCTCAGACGTCTCTTTACTATGCTACACATCTTTTATTAGTTTTAATTTTTTTTACTATGCAAATGAAAAATTAGTCACAATTTAAGCAGAAGTGCTATTAAGAAGGTGTTTTAAGGAAGAATCATCACAAGAGCTATTAGTGGAAAACCATCAAAGAGAGCAGTTCCTGCCCTATGGTAGAATATAAATCAAGAGCTAATTAGAGAATCCACAAGAAAAAAAAAAAAACAGCAGAAATTAGGCAGTCTGTTCATAGCACATAAGAGTATAATATCTTTATATATTGTGTGTATAGGTAATTTTGCCTTTACAAATTGCATCTCTTAGCTTTTACAATGATTATTTTACAGAAATCTCTAGCTTTGTTTAGTTTACATGAAACCAGATTTTAGAATGTATCACAGATTGATATTGCCATCTTATGATTTTTGTCTGTTTACTTTCTGCAGTTGTATCTGATCCAGGTGACACACAGTAACAATGAAACAAGTCTGACAGAAAAATCATTTGACCAGTTTTCAAAACTTCACAACCAACTTCAGAAGCAGTTTGCATCATTGACTCTTCCAGAGTAAGGCACTGTCCTTTTACATTGTTTTGCCTTCAGTACTTGTCCTTGAGCAAAAGGAAAAATTATGGTTATGGGGTTTTCTATTTGTGAGCAACACAGTATTCTGACTTCAATGCCATTGAATCTATCCCAGCAGAGAGTTTGAATTGCTCTTAGAGTAAAGAATCTTTTGTCTCATAAAACAGAACAAGGTTTGCAATTTTCTTTTTACTTCCAGTCATTGACTTTGTAGACAGAACAAATCAAAAGCTATTTCATTTTTATCAATATTGGGAAATTGGTTTATTTGCTTGTTTTTAAATTTAATTCTCTTAGTTTTTTTCTATAAAAATATAATTAAAATAGAAAGTACAGAACAAAATTGAATATGTTTATTCTTTCAACAAATAACTGCAAAAAAAAAAGCTCTTATATATGTAGTTTTCAGGCCAAAAAAATTAATGTATCAATGTCAATTCATATTATTAATAACTCACTTTTATTATCATTAGTTATTAACTTTTCAATTATTATTAACCTTATATTATCTAAATTGAATTTATTATGTTCATTTTGAAGCCATCTTGAAAATCATTGCTTCCATTCATATTATAATGGAGGATATATTAAACATAAGTACAACTAGAAATATCATAAAACTAGCTGTTTCAAATAACCCTTCTGAAATTCATCACTTAGAACCAGTTAAATTTAGATCATAGACTTCAGTGTATAACAAAGATGTGTCTTGACTTTAAAAGGCGAGCTTCCTAGAAATTACAATATTGACACTTAAGTAAACCAAATGTTATTTTATCTACAGAGGGGTTTTTATGATGTAAATATTCATGCTTTATCTTACTATATTCTATACATGTGATTTTTATTTAGAAGGAAGATCCTTACCTTTGGGAGACTTAGTCACCTTCCAAAATATAAATATAAGCTAAATCATCAAAGAATGGGGAGACTGTGCAATATTGAATGTAGTTCACAATCATGAAAAAAAAAAAAACAATACTTGCAGATGTCTGAGAGATTTTGAAATTCAGATGCTTTAAGCATCAGGAAGTAAAGAAATTAAAGTGAGAGTATGCTCTAAAAACTGAGAGGGAGGTAAAATAATGCTAGAAACTTCTAGAATAACATCAGATTTAAGAATCCTCAAAAAAACATCTGATAGAATAACTGAGAAAAAAGAGACGCAGGCAAAAATTTCAAAGTTGCAATGCAAATACCAAATTCAACATTAGTGATTACCATCATGCCCTACTAATTAATCACTTAGAAGTAGACGTTAATTCCTATTTTATGGCAAAATTTCTCTATTCTACACTGTAGCTCTCCAATACACATCAGTATAACTTGAAAAACATTAAAAGTGCTAATAATCTTTCTCCATAGGTCTCTTCTCAATTTTCAGCTTTCATTGGGATTCTGTGTAGCTTGTGACTGCTGCCTGGCGATGGGACCTAAATTGATTTTCAAACTATGTAAGCAATATGTGGAGGCGAGAAACATTTTGTCCTGTGCGCCCCGAACACTCTTTGTATGCCGACACTCCCAAGGCAGCCAAGGCTTACAGCAATGCAGGATAAATGAAGGAGGAGGGCGAGATTTCCTTTGACTCCTAAATTTACTGAGAGAAGCCATTTGAGAGTTATTTAAATTTGATCTGTAAAGTACAACCGGAGAGTCAGAGTAATGAAGAATAAAATTCTAATTAGTCATAGCATGTAACATTGGTCTTTAAAACAGTTCTTTGTACTTCTGGGTCCCTTCCAAGAGTACACAAACATGGAAAAGTTCCTTAAATTATTAATATTTTTAAAAAATTAATCTGCTTAAGGGAAGTAGACTTCCATTCCTTCTCCCAATCATCCAGAATTTTATTTTGGTACACTTTCTCAGGATGTAAAAACCTCTGAGAACCAGAGAAAATATTTTGCTAATATTGAGAATATGAATCACTCTAATAACTAGGTATCAAATCTAATCTTTATCAGGTGTTGTTTAATCTTTGTTCTGAACAAAACTAAGGGAGGGAGGACAAGATGGCATTGCCAGATAAGAGAGCATAAATATAATTTTCAGCACCTGGTTGCTATGTTATACTTGACGTATAACTCAAAAGAATGTCAAACAATTAGATGACAGTACCATATCAGAATTCCTCTCTTTTCACGTCTTATACTTAGATATTTTAATACATAGATATGAAAAAACATTAACAAAGAATTAGAAATGATTTTGAATTCTGTTTTATTCTATCAACAAGGAAAATTCCTACACAGATATATTAATGGTTATTTAAAACCAGTCTAATTCATCATTTATCAAATTCACTTCCCCCCAAAATTACTATGCATATATATGTTATGTAATATTTTTTATTAATTGTATAGCACTACTAATTTTCATGATAGCTAAATCTGGAAGAAAAAAATACTCATGTCTGAGAGCTGGTAGAGACTTTTTTTAAAAAATTAGTCATTTAAATATACAAATATAGAATTGTGAACTTCCCTGGCATTTCCAGCAGGAATCAGTAAATGAATGGCATGAATTCAACAAGTACTTCTGTATGTTTGCTGATTGTCCTTCACCATCCCCCAACATTTGTTTCCCCTCGAAGTCTGGTAGCCAGGTGGTGGTCTCTACCAAAGAAGCAGAGGTGTGGATGAGGCAGTTGTACAGCGGCAGTCAGAGGTAGCTGCTAGGTAGCTCCTAAAATGATATAAAGTGAAATGTGTTGCCTAAATGCTACCCATTAACAGGTCATCCCACCCTTTAATTGGTCTTAATCAAGTTCAACTATCAAGATGAAGTGCAGAGGAAATTCCACAAGTCAGACTCTTGAGAAAACTGTTATTTTTTTTCTGAAAGACTAGGGTCAGATAGAGAAGCATATGTCACTTGCTTATATGTTTAGTTTAGTTCGTGTAACAGTGTCTCTAGTGAACCCAGAAGAAACAGTGCAATCTTAACTTTTTGAAAAACTATGAACCATTAACTTCAGAATGTATTTATTAAGCCCCTACATGTATTCAAAGGACAAAATGTGTGGTCTGCAATAAATACAGGATGAAGAAACATATAAATTAATTTGATATGTTAAATTAAATTAGTATTAATATTAATAACAGTAAAAATAGCACAAGTTTACGACATGTTTCATGTTAATGAAACTCTCAGGATTAATCACATAGATGATGAGTTTTTCAAATGTTTTCATTGACCTCTCCATCTGATGCAGCTGTAACTTCTTGAATAATCCTAAAATACAGAGGATAATTTTCAAACTAATGAAGGTGCACTTTTTTTCTTCTATCAGATTTCCTCATTGGTGGCACTTACCTTTTACAAATTCAGACAACAAGAAATTCAGAGATCTAAATCTTTACATGGAACAGATACTAAGTGGATCATGTGAAATTGCAAATGTATGTTATGATCTATTTTTATATTCTTACATAAAATATCGACTATTTTATATATTGTTGCTAAAAACATTTTAAAATCTTTCATGATAAAATTATTCAGTTAATGCATTGTGTATCATGTATGCTTAGTATGTATAAAATCCATGAACTGGGAACTGTGGCACAGCAAAAAAGGTATAGAATCTCAACCTCAATTAACTTCAATGAGATAATAACATGTGTTAAATGAACTATGAGTGCTACAGCATGCTCTAAAGTTTTAGAGGAGTAAGAAGTACTCCAAACTGCAATAATAACAAGGTTTCAAAGAGAAGATAGCATCTGAGCTGGGCCTTTAACACTGGGTAGGGTTTAATAGAGGCCTGGGGAAGTGTTTTAATAGGAAAGGTCATCAGTGAGAAAAATGAATCAGTGAGAAAGAGATTATATTTTAAAAATCTAAGTCTACTGCTGCTGTGACAAATTAACACATAGTTGGTGGCTTAAAACAACACATGTCTATTTTTTTTTAGTTCCAGAATTCAGAAGTCTGAAAATGGGTCTCATGGGACGAAAAACAAAATGTTGGTGGGCTGGTTCTTTCTGGAACCTTTACAGCTCTAGAGCTGCCTGCATTCCTGTGGTTCCCTTCTAGCAATAAAGTGGCACGTTCTTATGTCTGCCTCTGTCCTGTCATCTCCTCTGACTCTAACTCTGACCCTCCTGCCTCCTTCTCAGAACGCCATTCTTATTTCATTAAGCCCACCTGGGTAATCCAGGATAATCTCACCATCTCAAGATTCCTAATGTAATTTTACCGGCAAAGTCTCTTTTGCTATGCAGAGTGACATAGTCACAGGTTCCAAGGATTTGGACATAAACATTTAGGGTGGAGTGGAATTATTCTGCTTATCTATCACAGGGACATAAGAAAAGGTGCCAGGACACAATTCTGATAGATCTTAGCAAGTTTGTAAAGTAAAGTTTGGAGGCCAAGCCAAGTAGTTAAGAACTGAAGCTAAGCCATAAAGAGTTATATTAGTCCAGGTTTGCCAGAGACCAGCTCCAGCTGGGTTCAGGGTACCCCAAAGGTGGAGACAGTGTCAGTGATTGGGGGGAAGAAGAGAGAAAGAAAGAGACTGGACTCCGGTCTAGTGCAGAAGCGATGTGTGTGTCATTGGGAATTACAACGGGTCTTTTATACACAAAGTCAAATGTGGGAGGGGCGTCCCCCACCCACCAGAAACCTTAATCCATGAAAACTTAATCAATGATTGCCTTTAAACCCTTTTCATATGATAATCTTAAAATCCCATAACAAAGGATAACCTAATCTGTGACTGACATATTCTATAAACCTTTTTCATCCTAAGCTGATTGATTTATGCCAAGTTAAACAATTCTATAGAAGCTTAAATATTTACTTTACAAACAAAAGTGGCCCATCCCAGAATGTTTGGAATGTGGCCCAGTCCAAAGTTCACAGTGGGCAACCTGCAAGTAACCCAGCCACATTCTTTCAACAAAATGGCTGTCTTCTAAAACTATATTTTACAATTTACACCTTCAGTAAATCCTAAAATCATGACCCAGAAGCCTGTGACCAATACTAAGGCTCTTAAATGTGACAGAAGTTTGAATTATAAGTTGTGTGAAAGCCAAAACTGCAGTTTGTGGAAGAATGGGAGCAATGAACTTCTAAAGTTAGCTTGTGTTTGTCCCAGTCTCAGAGTTTTTATGTTTTGAGCTCACAGGAGCTTAATCTGGCTAGTGCTAAGTAGAAAGGGGGAGGAAATGGGGTCAATAGCTCCTGAACGCATCCTAGTGGTCTCGGGGTCAACGGCCCTTCCTGATCCCTAACGCTCAGTGGGCCTCCGTGGCCAGCTCCCAACACGGGTTCTCCAAAGAAATAGAACCAACAAGATGTGTGTGTATCTCTGTGTGTGAGAGATTGATTTAATTGGCTCACATGACTGTGGAGGTGCAAATCCAAAGTCTGTAGGGTAGGCTAGAGACAAGGACAGATTTACAGTGAGTCCAAAGGCATTCTTCTAGTAAAATTCCTTCTTGCTTAGAAGTCAGTCTTTATTCTATTTAGGATTTCGATTGATTGGATGAGGCCCACCTACATTATAAACACTATAAAGAGTAATCTGCTTTACTCAAAATCTACCAATTTTAAATGTCAAAATGTTAATCTCATCTGCAAACATTTTCACAGAAATATCCAGAATAATGTTTGACCAAATACAAGATGAACCAAAAAAACCCAGAATTTATTAATAAAAAATTGGGTATTTATTCTTACATTTCAATCACCTTCAAAATACTCTCTGTTTGATGCAATACACCTACAGAGATGCTTTTTCCACTGCTCAAAACTCATCGATTTTGATGCCTTTTAGTGCTTCTGCTATTTTTTGTTTCACCTCTTCCACATCAACAACATGTTTCCCTTCCAGGACTTTTTTCATCTGGGGAAACAAACAAAAAAAAAGTCACTTGAGGGGATACCAGATGAATAGGGAAAGTGGGGCTGTTTTTGGAAAAAACCTGATGAACACTTAGTGTGGTGTAGGCAAGTGCACTCATAAATCACTTATGAAATAGGCAAACATGTTGAAAGAATCTTGCGGGGGGCGGGAAATGTACTGACGCCGAACGCAGCCTCTCACAACAATGCTAGCTGGTACGCTGATATTGATAGGTTCTTAGAACATTTACCAAGTAGGGGTAACCTGTACTATGAGGGGCCTGCTCTTCAAAAGATAATTCTTTTTTTTTTTTTGGTCTTCCCTCATATATGAGCACTGTGGTTTTAGCCAAATTGACACATAAAATTAACAATCACAAGAGTAGTGAGGAACTAAAATAAAATCACTAAGAAGTACAACAGTGCCCTTCACCACTCTAGTAGATCTTGGCTCTCCTTACTGAATCTGCACTATAATCTTTTTATTTTTGAGCCTTTTAATTGCAAAATGAAAACACACATCTAGAAAAAAGATCCATAAAATAAAATTGGATAGTTCAAGAAAAAATTATAAAGAGAACACCCATGCAGTAGTTTGTAACATGTCTGAAAATTCCTTGCCACTCTCCCATCAATAGGAGGATCTTACAACCTCTACTTCTTGAACCTAAGAGCACCTTTATCATTTCCTCATCAAATAGAATATAATAGAAGTGACCTTTCATGGCTTCCAAGTTAGGTTAGAAAATACCATGGACCTTCTAACAATGTTGCTTGGGATATTCACTGTGGGAGCCTTTGGCATCCATCTGTGATTTTGTACAATGCTGAGTCTGCTATGTAGATAAACCACAAAGAGTGATCAAATAGAAAAAGAGATGATCAAAGACCAGCAACTGTCCCAGTTTCCAGCTGAGACTCCAGCCTCAACCACCAAAAGATCACAACCTTTTGAAAACGTCAAGCAGAATACACCAGCTGAGTCCTGTCAAACCCCAGACTGAGAAATAATAATAGGATGACTGGATTTAAGCCAATAGTAAAGTGATAGCTCACTTTCAAATTCACATAATGAGTTTTCCTGGTTGTATAGTATTCTATCATATCAACATATTGCAATTCATTTGTAGGTTCTTCTCTACATAGACTTCTGGAATAATTTTTACTTGGGGCCATTACAAATCATGCAGCTATAAACATTCTTTCACACAGATGCATCTCTCAGTGTTCACTTGTTGTTCATATACCTAGGGATAGAATTTCCAAATTGTAGAGTGTTTATATTCAACATTATAATGATTAATGTATTCTTTTATTTGCAATAAGCACACATTCAAATTTTCTACAATGTTGTCTACACTTGATATTGTTACTCGTTTACATTTTGGCCATTCTGATGAGTATGCATCTTCTTGCACTTTTAGTTTGTATTTTCCTGTTACAACTGACCTTAAACAATTTTTCATGGTTTTTGGTCATTTGGATATCCTCTTTGGTGAAGCACCATTTCTTATCTTACCATTTTCCTATTGAGTTATTTAACATTCTTTTGTTAATTTATAGCATTTCTTTCTTTCTCTCTCTCTCTCTCTCTCTCTCTCTCTCTCTCTCTCTCTCTGTTGTTGTTGTTGTTATTGTTGTTGTTGCTGTTGTTGTTTTCTTAGTCAGAGTCTCACTCTAATGCCCAGGCTGGAATGCAGTGGCACACTCATGGCAACTGCAGTCTTGACCTGCTGGGCTCAGGCAATCCTTCCACCTCAACCTTCTAAGTAACTGCAACTACAGGCACACACCACCACACCCAGTTCATTTTTTGATTTATTGTGGATATGAGGTCTCGCCAAGTTTCCCAGGCTAGTCTTGAACCTGTGGGCTCAGGCAATCTTCTCACCTCCCAAAGTGCTGGGATTATAGGCATGAGTCACCAAACCCAGCCCTATAGCATTTTTTTATATATTCTGGATAGAAGCTCTTTATTAGTTAAATAAATTGAAAAGATTTTTCTTCACTCAGTCTTATCCCTTCTCTCTATCATACCTGGTGTTGAACAGAAACTTTTAATTTTAATGTGGTAAAATGTATTACTATTTTTCTATATAAGAAGACCATATCATGCCTCAGTTTCATAAACATCTGAATATATTGGATTGGTCAATGATCAGTGGTATTTCCCCTTATTCAGTTAATATGGTAAATTATATTAATGGATTTTCTAACTTTAAAACTAATTTTTAATTTGCATAGCCAAGTTAAACACATTTCCACAATGTAATATCCTTCTTATGTATTGCTGGATTTAATATAACATTTTCTTTAGTATTTGATTTTGGCATTGTACATAACAGAGATTGGCCTGAAGATTTTCTTTCTTATAATCTTGTTTGTCAGGTTTCAAAAATCAAGATAAGCTGACCTCAAATAGTAGTTGGAAAAGATTTTCAGTTTGGTTTTTTTTTGCTCTCTCTTGGAAAGTTTTGTAAAATTGATTTATTTCTTTAAATAATTTGTAAAGCCATCTAAGTCTGGAGATTTTATTGTTTTTGAGAGT